ATATCAAAGCCGGCCACTTGGAGTCACGGCTCCCGACATGTCCCCCTTTTTTATATTTTTAAAATTGGCCATAACTTAATAGTAATGGAACAGAAGATTGTGCCTGTCTTAGGTTGTTTCTCTCGAAGGTATATATTTTTTTATTCATGTCCCCATTTTTGAGTCAATATTTGTACATGAATTTTCATACACCCCATAGAAAACTTACCTGTCTTTGACTACCAACCTCTGCTAGGGTGGACACTGTGATATGATCTTGTGCAGATCAGCTCAGCTTTGACATACCAAAAGGCCTTCAGGCAGATTTTAGTTGTCACTGATAGGAGCGCGTCTCCTATCACAAGCCAAGTCCAAAGTAACACTCCAAAAGTGACTAGCAGGTGACTCCCTGTGCAAATTACCAAGTCTGAGAAACATTTAGAGGAACCATAATAAAAGGCTGTTGAGCAAACAGAACCATTTGAAAGCTTAACATCTCCAAACAGCAAAACAAAAGGAGAATTTACATAGGCAGTTACAGGCCCCCCCCAAGAGTTCCTGAAGCAAGTCTGTTTTGCTCTGCTGAAAACTAGAGCCAGATTAAAGTTTCACAGTTAGTTCTCTTTCGATTTTGTTGAGGTTTGTCCTTATTAACAAAACAGTCAAGTCCAGTTTATTGTATAAGAGATTTTTTTTTTTTTTTTGCATGACGTCTTCTCCTAGGAGCAGAATGAAGCAAGAGCGGGGTCAGGAGCTCAGGTCTAAATGCAGCTTTTTAGTCTAGTCAGGGCAGAGTTTATGGTTGTCTGTAGTGGGAACATCTTCTTTCTGGGGAACAACTCCTGCAAATCGTACCAGCCTCTCTGGGATCCACCTGGCTCCCTCTGCATCCTGTGGAAAAACACAAATGTGCCCTCTTCCCCATATTAATACAGGGTTGGGGCCCTGCCATAATCCAGTAATTGAATCTTTCCATTTTACTTGGGCAAAATTATCTTTGGTATTGGGATGCCAAAATCGATCAGCCACAGAATGGCCTTGTGTATCCACATTCAAAAAATTTAAAATAAAGAGAGCATGATTAATATTTGGGAATATGACTCCCCCCTTTTTTATTTTTTGCAATTGGTTTTTAAGAGATCCATGGGCTCGTTTTACAATTTTTTGGCCCTGGGGGTTTTGTACACAGAAACGCAATGGAAGGAATACCAATTGCAGCAAAACACTTAAGCAATGACTTATAACATGTTTGGTGGCTTCCCCTGTTAAGGGAGTTGCCATGATAAATCCTGAAAAAGTGTCAATTGTTACATGAACATATTTTAGTTTCCCAAATTCTGGGACATGAGTTACATCCATTTTCCACAAATGATTGGGAGTCAAACCTCTAGGATTGACACCTTAATGAGGTATATTAAAATATTCAGGGCAAGAGGAACATGATCTTACAATTTGTCTAGCGGCTTCTCTGGTAATATTAAATTGTTTTCTTAAGCTCTTGCTATTTTGATGATGTAATGCATGAGAATTTTGAGCCAATTCTTGTTGAGTTAATCCAACCAAACGTGTGGCTAGATCTGCTAAATCATTTCCTAAAGTTAAAGGTCCAGGAAGCCCTGAATGAGCTCTAATATGCCCTATGTAACAAGGTTGCACATGGCTCCAAATACTTTGTTGAATCTCTCTAAATAGATCTTGTATTTGTTTATTAGCTGTATTACCATATGTTACAGTCTCTAAGACTTGTAAAGCTTTAGCTATATAATGGCTATCAGTATACAAGTTGAAAGAGGTAAAAGCCAAATTTTTAAAGACTGCAGCAACAGCTCGGAATTCTACAACTTGAGCTGAGGCTGGCAATGTTTGCAAAACAAAAGTTTGTCCCTCTAGTACATAAACAGCTTTTTTATTTGAAGATCCATCAGTGAATACTGTTGGAACTTGAGGTAATGGCTTTTGTTTAATTATTTTAGGAAATACAAAAGCGTGCTCACTGGCAAATTGAAGTAATTTATCTTTTGGATAATGATTATCAATATGTCCTAAATAATGAGCAAAAGCTATCGCCCAACAATCTACATTTTGAAATAATCAATCTACTTGCTGTTTGGTAAAAGGGACTCCAATTAAGGAGGACTCTCTACCAAAATATTTATGAGATTCTGTGCGAGCCAGAACTAAACTAAACTAGCTTGAACTAAACTAGCCACTGCTTCATAATATGGTGTCAGAACTTGAACAGGAGACACAGGCAGGTGCAACCATAATAATGGTCCTTCTTGCCACAATACAGCAGTTGGAGTATGAACAGTAGCCAAAATATATGCACCCCATTCTTTTGAATAATCAATATATTGAACATGCTACTTTTCAATAGCTAATTCTATCTTTTGCAAAGCATTACAAGCTTCTTTGGTAAGTTTCCTTTTTGACAAAGGATTAGCCTCTCCTTTTAAAATGTCAAAAAGTGGTTTTAGTTCTCCTGTTGTTAATTTTAAATGGGGTCTTAGCCAATTTATGCTGTAACAAACAAAGCCCAGTTGGTTATTTTAGTTAATATTTTAATAAATTGGTGGACCCTTACCAGAAAGAGTTGACAAATACCTTGCAGCCAGAGAGCTTTGAATTTTAGCTGTTATTAACCTAATTATTTGGATGAGTACTATTGTCTGTAACTTAGTACCCCAATCCTTGGCCTTTTTCCCATTTTCTCCTTTCTTTCTAACAGGTCTAAAGGCTGCTTGGCAAGCATTGGTAGCATTCTCATAAGCCAATTGTTTCACTAAAAACAATCCAGACTTTTCATCACTTATAAGTCTGTTTGTTGCTTGCATTAATCTTGCCACAAAATCTTGAAATAACTCATCAGGTCCCTGACAGATTTTAGACAAATCCTCCACCTGTCTACCTGCTTGTGGAAGTTTATTCCAGGCCCTCCGGGCAGCAGTATTGACCTGAGCATAAACAGCCACATCAAAATCCAATTGCTATCCTATTTCCTTGTAGATTCCTTCTCCAGCAAGCATGTCATAAGTTATAGGAATTTGCTGAGCTCGATTAAGTTCAGCTGTAGCTTGACAATGCTCTGCAAAATCTGACTTCCATAATAAATTATCTCCTCCTGATAAGTATGCTCTTGCTAACTGTTTCCAGTCCCCTGGGCAGAAAGCCTCAGTAGACATGGATTCCAGCAGAGCCAGGGTGAAAGGCGCTGTAGGTCCATATTGGGAGCATGCAGATTTTAATTCTTTTATCTGTTTAAAAGAGCATGGACTCGCACCATATTACCGTGTCCATCGGGTTGCTCCAAAACTGGAAAACTATAAAACTCAGATACGTCTTCTCCATTCTGCCTGGCTTCTTGTAAAGAAGCTTGTAAAGCAGATACAGATGTTCGTACAGTGGACAAAGGGAAAGGTCCCCTTGTCTTCTGGGCCATTGAAACTGTAGTATTCTCAGGAGGAGGGCCTAAGCCTTCCACCAATGATGGAGTTGGAGTACGAGATTGAGCTTCATTTTCTCTAGTAGTTAATTCTCCAATTTTTTTGTTTATTTCCTCCAAGCCATACTCCAGTCTTTTAATTTCTTTTTGCCAAGGCTTACGCTTTTTAACATGCATAGCCTGAATTGGAGGGTATCTCTCAGAATAGTACTGATCTGGTTCTTCCTCCAACTCTGCAACCTCATTAGGTTGCAAGTCTTCCTCAAAGTCTCCTTCTGGCAAGAAATTATTGTCATCAGAAGGGCAATACAACTCCTCTGGAGGAGCTGATGGTATAATAACATTTTCTCTTGAAGCCTGCCATCTTTCTAACCTCCTTCTCTCTGAGCCTGAAAGTTTAGCTTTCTCAGTTTCCTGCTGCTTATACAGACTACCTTTAATTAAGTTCCATAAAGAAAACACTAGGCTAATGCCTTGTCCCATTTTTATTCTGGGATTCACTCACCGCAACCTTTCTATTTAATGCGAGCTCACCAGCCAAACAGCGGTGTCCTTCACGGGTTCCCTGTATCTCAAGCCCCACGTTGGGCGCCAATCTGCCGGGGCCAGCCGGGCAGAGTCGAACGGTTCTTGAGTTGGGCATGAGGATTAAAATTAATAAAATAAACACACAGCACACAGGAAACTTTTTAAAGGTCCAGACTCGACAGCCACGGCAAAAGGCAGACTGCTGCAGCAAGCAGCGTCAGCAGCAAGTCTCAAGTCTCTGCCTGCCTCCTCTGTCTCCAGCCTTCTCCTCTGTCTCCAGCCTTCTCTTTGTCTCCAGCCTTCTCTTTCTGTAACTGTCGGCTTGTCTTTTTATTGTAGAGTTTCTGAGCCAGAGTAGAAACATCTCAGAACAATAGGTTAATTTGCACAAGGAGCTAGAGGAAGAGGTGTGACCCTCACAAGCTATCCCACCAGCTGTCACAAACAAAAGGAGATGGACTTGCAAGTTCTCTGCCATTAGTAAAGGCCTGCTAAAAACCATCTCTCTACCGAGATTTAAATATCAAAGCCGGCCACTTGGAGTCACGGCTCCCGACAAAGAGTAATACTTCTGGAATCTCTTGATATATTCTCAATAATTAGGTCATTTCTCTGCTTTCTTCCTTTCAGCCATTTAAAATTGTTTGACCTGTGTTTGTGTGTACACACCTGTTCCATGGTGTGCATGGGGCAGTGACAGGATAGCTTATTGCTGTCTAGTACCTACTTCTTCTATGTGTGTTCTACACATGAGACCCAAGGAGTTATTTGGTTCAAGCAACCTCACTGGCCTTTATTTGGGCTTAAACAGTATGTATGTGCTTGTGTGTGAGAGTTTATATACCACAGCCCAAGTGTAAAAATAAGAAAAATTGGAGGAGAAATAAGGGTCTCCCAGAGATGAGCTCAGATCATCAGACTTAGCAGCAACCAACATTACTCAGTAATTGTCTTACCCATTGTGACAATTCTCTGGTGATTCTGAGAAAGTGTTATGAATAAGCATTTACTCCTAAGAAGAAACTAACAGTAAAAAAATAGCAGTATATCCTTTTCATTTGCAAATAGGTTTTATTACACAAATCATCCTGTAATTCTCCATCCTTGGATGACAATATGTTTACAACCTGAAAAGAAGACAATATTGTACTGGTGTAATGTTTCAACTATTTTTATTTGATCCTCACTGAGATGGCTAAGTGGGCAAGGTCTGTGGTGTGCAAACTTGGTAACTTGACCTTCAGAATCATATAGATAGCTAAGGTACACACCACACAGTTGTCTCCCAGTCTTCACATATGTGTCATGGCCTAAAAGCATATTACCACATTAAATTCTCTCTCTCTCTCTCTCTCTCTCTCTCTCTCTCTCTCTCTCTCTCAAATATTTTGGATAAATCTCATTGCTTTTATATTACCTATCATCTCTAAATTTTTTGTTTAGAAGTTAGTACTTCAAGATGAAGTGCCAAATGGTAACTGATGGACCACATGAAGAAACACGGAACAGCAAATAATATATACATATACACACTAATCAAGCTATGTTGTGAGATATACAGTTGATCGCTGATTATCCTACTTTATTACATCTTTGTCAGATCAAAGAAAATTCTGCCTTGGATACACATACAAGGTATTTAACATTTCCTATATTCTCCTCTATTTAGCATTTCAATGTTTTCATTTTGAAAATGTGTTGATAATGGGGGTAAATCTACCCTTGAGCTTGTACTCAGGAGGCTGACACATGAGAATCATGAGTTAAAACGTAGCCTTGACTATTAACTGACATTCAACTCAGGCTGGGCAACTAACAGCAACATCTGAAGGGCATTTGTGAAAATATGAAAAACAAAACCAGGAACGAACACCTCCCACCCATTCCCAGGCACCCATACTTGTAAACTCTGATCACACAGAGCCTGACATTTACATAAACAACAGACCACTTAGGTAATGGGCATCCCACTCTATACACTGCAGCAGAAAAATACCTATCACCAAGAAAAATCGCAATAGATGATGAAAAGCAGCCATAGAAGAAATACAAGAAAAGCCTAAACAACTTCACTAAATTGTTCATACATACAGCAAAGTTCAATACCTACTCCAAATGTTTCAAAATACAATCAACAACCACAACTGATGACCTCCTCCATTACACTCAAGTGAACATGGTGAATAATTTACTTCCTTCAAGGCTGTGATGAAAAAACAGACATAAGAAGACTTTTTTCTTGAAACTGAAGATAACTATGATAACTGCAGTCTTTATCAAATCACTTACATGAGTAGGGTTTTTCTCTTCCTTGAGTTCTTCCTGCTTCCTGACATCAAGATGATACATCCAGGCTTCAAACTATTTACAGGGAAGAATGATCGCTGTGCAACTAAGACAAGTTCATTCCTAGTACGAGGGTCAGGTGTTTGGCAACTTTCTGTAATTCCTGCTACAAGAACATGCTTGGGTCCAGTTTTCTTCAGAACCAGCCTGACATGCTCACATTCACAAAGACACACTGACAGCACATAATCAAAATTAAAACAATTTGTGAAACAAAAGTTTATTCCTCACTGTTTTTCTTATGTAAGCATTTATTCCTGTAACTGACAGAGATTTTCCTCATTTTGAACTGTGCATATGCATACGCAACAGCCTTGGTTCATGCAACAGAACTGGTTCTTGCAACTGCAACTGGTTCATGCATGTAGGTTTGCAGTCATAAAAATTAATGCTTCTCAGGTGGAGTTATCATTTGGGATGATTTTGGAAATTGTGCCCTGCTAGAGGAAACATTCCACATGTGTGGGCTTGAGAGTTTACTTCCATACACCTCTTCTACTTCACACTTTCTGCTAAGTGCTGCTGGTTGAGGATGCGAACTCTAAGCTCCTGGCTTTAGCTGCCATGCATGACACTTGCTGCCTTGCCACTTTCATGGCTATCCCACATCCTTCTAGAACCATAAGCCAAACTAAACTCTTTCATGACTTGCCTTAGACATTGTGTTTTATCACAACAACACCAAAGGCACTAATACACACCCATAAAGTTTTACACCTGGATGAGTTATTTGATATAATGAAAGAGAATTCTGAAATCTAAAATGGTCACCTAGTTTAAATTCTCTAAGCTTTTGTCAATATGAGTTGCAAGTGCAAACAAAGTAAAGACAGACATCATATTGTTTGAATAGATTATTGACACTTGCCACTTTTATCCTCCAGAATAATCTTGTGTAACTGAGTATGGCTAAAGATTTTAGAAAATCATTTATAGACACAGGTCTCCTTCAGTATGAGTTCTTTAAAATGCTCAAAGACTACTATGATATGCAAAGCCTTTAACAGATTGATTACACACCAAAGGTTTTACTTTTTTATAAAGATACCATTAAGTATCATTTCTAAACTGGCTACATTTATGGGTTTCTCTGTAGGATGACTTTTCTCATGATTTTTAAGTCTGCTGCTACATGAAAAGGTTTAACACATTGCTTATTCATAGGGTTTCCCTACAGGATATGTTCTTTTATATGTTCGAAGATAAATGTGGTATGCAACTGTTAGGAGAAAGCAATAGAAATGTGCCATAAATACTACCTTTTTGTTACTTCCTCCATTTATTCATAGGGAGAAACTGAGTTCACTTTCCTAGGCCTTAGGGGTGATGGAGGCTTTCCACTAACTGATCAGCTTCCATTATTCCTCTTTTGTTCCCTAAAGCATAATGCCTGTTGCTAACCACAAAAGAACAAGTGGTTATGGTGGTTAGGCTGTAAAACCTACATTCTGTATCAGGGGACATAGGTCAACTACATAAAGAAAGCCTCTATCCCTAAATCTGGATTGGTGGAACAGGTAGCTGTGACTTGGCACAGATGTCTATGAGTATGTTCTGTCGCCCTGAACAATCACTAGCACCTTAATTACAACGAATTCTTGTTCATTTGCTTTGACCTGGTGTTTCAGGTATGTTGGATCTCAGCAGAAGCCATCACACAAAGGCTTTACCACATGGTTTACATTCATCAAATTTCTTTCCACTATAAATACTTTCAAATGATGAAGACTGCAGAAATGTGCAAAGGCATTACCATATTAAATGTATTCATAAGGTTTCTTTCCAGTATGAATTCCTTCATGATCATGATAAAACGCTTCACCATATTAAAAATATTTCTAGAGTTTCTCTTCAGGATGAATTCTTTTATGATTCTGAAGATGACTATGACATGCAAAGGCTTTACCACTGTGGTTACATTTAAAGGGCTTCTCTGCAGTATGTATTTGTTAATGTAGATGGAGATAGCTGTTTTGTGAAAGGCTTTATCACACTGGTTACAATCATAGAGTTTCTCTCCAGAATGTATTCTTTTATGTATTTGGAGCCTACTGTGCTGTGAAAAGGCTTTACCACATTGATTTCATTCAAAGAATTTCTCTCCAGTATGTGTTCTTTTATTTCTTAGGAGATGATCATTACGTGCAAAGGCTTTACCACACTGTTTACAATCATACGATTTCTCTCCAGTATGTGTACTTTTATGTTTTTGGAGAAGACTGGGCT